GGTGTATGCGCCGCCGGTCCGTGCACGGTGCGCGCTCGCGGGACTTACGCGGCACTCACACGGGGCGCACCCATGTGCGCATGCCCGTGCACATGGGTGCGCCCGTATGGTTTTGTGCACTCGAGTTAGTGCGCTTGCGCCGTGCCGAGCGCGTGCCCGAGCCGCTCCGGACGTGGCAGCAGCGGGAGCGATGTGGACGGTGCCCTCGGGGCCGAGTGCGGGTCTGTGGCTGCTTCTGACGGTGGCGCTGGGTGCTAGCGGCGGCTCGGAGCACCCCCGGCTCCGCGAGGCCGTGCTGCGGGACCTGGCCCGCGGCAAAGTGGAGGTGAGCGCGGGCGGGGGCCGCGTGGCGCGCCGGGGGTAAACCAGCGCCCGCCGCGTGCCTGACGGGGTATCCTCTCCCGCAGACCTGCGGTGGGTGACGGCTGAACCGCCTCAGGGAGGTACGTACCGGGGCCGGGCCGGGCCGGGGAGTCGGGGTTTCCCAACACTGAGCCGGGCCCGGCTGGCCACTCTCCACAGGTGAAGGCGTTCGTCACCCAGGATATTCCGCTCTAGTACCCGCCGACGGCGGCTGCAGCGATGGGGTCCGGATGGGATGGGATGAAGTATGGGAGGCACGGGCTGAGGGAGGATGGAGTTTTCAGCGGAATGAAGGACAGGGTTTGGTGAGAACTGGAGGACGGGTGTTTAGGGGAGTGTGATGGAGGATCGGATGGTATTATAAGGGAAACGGGATGGGATGGTATGTAATGAAGGATGGAATGTGGGACAGAACAGATGGGATGGAAGGGAATGGGATATGAGAGAACATTGGCTGGGATGGGGGCTGGTACAGAATATGCAGGAATGGGATGTGACAGAGGGTAGAAGGGGATGTAATAAAGGATGGGATAGGATAAGGGTTGCATGGGCCTGACCAGTGCTGCCCACTCCTTGACACATTGCCCAGCCATAACCTGGAGATGAAACACCTGCCTGGCGCTGACCCTGAGCTTGTGCTCCTCAGCCTCCAGTATGAGGAGCTAGAGGTGAGTGGGCAATGTGGCACCTGCTGCCGCATGGCTTGGGGTGGTCAGTGCCTTATAGGTGCCAGGCTATAACCCTGTCTTGGTGCAGAGAATTCCCCTGAGCGACATGACCCGGGAAGAGATCAACCAGCTGATTCAGGATTTGGGCTTCTACCGCAAGGAGACACCTGATGCCCCTGTGCCAGAGGAGTTCCAGTTTGCCCCTGCCAAGCCTCTGCGAATACTGCTGCCCCCCCAAACACCCACCGCTGATGGCAAGACCCCATCCAAACATGACAAGGAAGAACATCCAGACCTCTAGCAAGAAGTGCCACACTTGGGGCAGGGTCCTGCAGCCAGTCCCCAGTCTAGGGAATGAGGGTGCTATGGCAGCTGGGGATGGTGTCAAAGGGTGGCAAACACTTTTTCCCCCCACCCTTCTTGGTGCTGTGTAGCCTCTGCCCCAAGGATGCCCCAGGCAGATCCAGCCTCAAGCAGGGGCTTCCTGGACACTTGAGGGCATTCTGAGGGTCCTGTGTGCTGGTTGATGCCCTCCCATCCTTGGAGCCCATTATCCCTGGCCACGTGGGAGGAGCAGCATTCCTTGCTGTCCCTTGTTATGCCCAGAGGTTTAGCTGCTCTCAGCACTGGGCAGCAGTATCCTGCCTGTATGGGACAGGATGAAACCCTCAGCAGAAAGGACTAGGTGCTAAGGGTAGATGTGCTGAGTCCCAAAGGTGGGAGAGCTGCCCCAAGAAGAGCACAGCACAACCCACAGCAGGGTTATCATATCCAGCTCCTAGTAAAGCTTTTATTTGCAGTCACCTCACTGTGTCATCTTTTAAGGAGGAGCTCGGTGGCATCCTGCACCACTGTGTTCCAAGTACAGCTGTGTGCTCCAGAGCTTCTCGCAGAGGCAGGAGAGGATGGCAGTCCTAGTCACTGCTGGTGAGCCACAAACCAACCTACAGACCAGCTGTGCTGTTCCTGTGCCACCCCTCCCCAGCATGATAGAGGGGTGAGGGTGGTGGGCACCATGGCATGGGGTGAGCTGGGTGCAGGAGGATGGGCATGAGCCCATTAACAAGTCCTGCAGTGCTGAACCAAAGCCCCATGCCTGCACTGGCCCAGTGGGGACATCTGGCCCTCAGCTAGGGAGGGAAGTGGGGCACCACTGCGCTTGACCACAGTCTTGCTGGCCATGTGGGATCTTTTACCTGTGCTAGGTTTGAGGCAATGTGGGACAGTGAACCATGGTCAGAGTGCCTTAACTATGGACATCATTAATGAGGGGAAGAGCAATACATGCCCTAGTGTCCCTCTGGGGTGGGTAAGCAGTAGAGCTGCAGGTAGAGCAGCCAGCAGCAGCTGGACTTCCAGTGTTCCCCAAGCACTGTGGTGTGCAATATGCCGCTGGCAGAAGGACCTGAGCCAGAGGCATTGCCCTAGGTAAACCTTTATTATCTGGCTGGTGTTGGTACATGTGTCAGCATGGGTGTAGAGATGTGACAGATGGGCAAGCAGCGCTGAACACGCAGGTGCCCTGGGCTGGAGAGGAAAGGGGGGGTGGTTGTCCCAGCTTGCTCTGTTTGCCTTGCACTCCCCTGGGACCCCTTGCTGCTGCCCCCTCCCCAACCCACAGTTGCCCCCAATGTGGAAGTGCCCGTGGTGCACATGGAGGTGGGAAGCAGGGTGTTGGCACCGTTATGGAGCTGTCCCATGGGAGGTGACACCAAGCTGGGCCTGCAGTGGGCAGAGAAGCTTCCTTGCAGGGGGCCAAGGGAACCACTGACAGTGCTGCCTGCAGGATGTACCATGGCCCTGGCTGGACTGCAGAGTCATGCTCAGCCACAGACCCATGAGGTGGCCCAAGTCTGAGGGCATAGCTGTGCCCAAGTCACCCCAGGGACACAGGGATGGTGCCTGCAGGGCAAATAATTCCTAGAGAACAAATAACTTAAAAAGACTGGAGCATGGGAAGCAAGTTAAGGTGGGAGCATCCCCAGCAAGGTGAACCTGGCACTGCCCACAGGGTCAGCCCACAGCTGACCAAGGCAGAAGCAGCTCTGGCAAGGCAGAGGTGTGGGGGTGCACTGTTGGAAGAATTGTCCTGTTCTCAGTGCCAGACCTATGTCCCCCCCAGACCCTCCCAGGCAAGCAGCTCCCCTGCCCACAGGCAGCTCTGGGGTGAGGGCAGCAGTGGGAGTGGGCAGGGCAGGCTTTAGCACTCTTTCTGCCGCATGCGCAACTCGTGGCGACGCAGGTGGTTATAGAGGGACTGCACGTAGGTGAAGACGCACTTGGCGTCAGGCTTCTTCCCCATGATCATCATGTCTTCGACCTCCACCAGCGGCACGCAGTCCACCAGCGTCCTGCAGAGATGAAGCCTTCAGCATGGCCTCAAGCAGGCTGCCCCACATGGGGGCTGGGATGGGCACCCCACACTGCCCAGGGCCAGCTGGTGTGGGCACTGCTACCCTCAGACCTGCTCAGCTCCTTTCACACCCCCCCCAACTTACCCTGGTACCCACAGTCCTTCTGCTCCCGACACTGGGAAGAGCATGTGCTGTCTGCCCTGGAAGGGCCTGCCTCAGGGCAGGGGTTGCCCAGCTGTCTGCACCCCTTGCTCCCCTGGTACTCTCCATCCTTGGTGCTGGCACTCTCCTAAAGCTGTGCCCACCCTCTTGCTCCTCCAGCTGATGCTGATGGCCTCTAGGGAGAGCCCAGCCTGGCTGCAGGTGTCTGCTGTGCCCCTACCTCAAACCCTAGCTGGTGGTTCAGGGAAAGCAGGGGGTGGGTCTTGGTTACATGCTGCCCCTTCTGCCTCAAGCCCTGGCCCTGCTTTTCCGCCTTCCTCCAAGCCCTGCCAGCCTGGCTCTGTCCCTTGCCCCAGACTAGAGCCTGGGGTCTGATTGCCCCAGGCCTAGCACATCCTACTGCTGGAGTGGGCGCTTCCCTGCCTCAGCTCACTCAGCCTAGGTAGGTTGAGATAGGAGGCTATCTCCTCCTCTCCCTGCCCCACCACAGTGCAGGACCTAGCTCCAGCAGCTACCAGTCTTGTGGGGCCCTGGCAGATCAGCTATGGTTGTGTCCCCATCCCCATAGCACCCTTGGGGCTCTGCCGCTGCCCTTTTGGTCTGGTAACTCACTGCCTTGCCACCCATCCAGTTCCCTGGGCTGTGTCTTTCCCCAAGTTGGGGCACCCTGGGCGCTTGAAGGGACTGAACATGATTAGGAGTCACAATAGCAACCAGGAAGGGCATGGAGGGGATCTGGCCACCTCTTGTCCTCTGCTTTCTACGGGGAGAGAAGGGGTGGGGGGGCACAGAAGCAACCCTGCCACTGCTGCCAACCCTCCTGGCCCTGCCCAGGTCCCACAACCCTACCAGGCACTGTCCCCACTTCTGGCTGCTGCTGGAGCAAGGGCTGCATTGGGGGCAGTGCTGACAAAAACCAGCAGGACCTGCTGCCACCACGGCCAGTTCAGCTGCTTTAGCCTGGGCCACTCAAGGTTCTTCCCCAAGGCTCTGGTTGCACAAGGAGGATCTCCCAAGGCAGGGCTCTGCCCCCAAGGACAGGGTGCACAAGGAGGGTCTGAACTCTAGGCATGCCACCCACCATGACAACACCTTCAAGCCCTGTACCTACCTGTACCCCTGTACCTACCCCCTCCCCTCCTGCAGTAACACCACCACACACACTGGCCCCCTAGAACAGCCCTACCCCAAGGAGCGACCCTAGCCAATGCCAGCCCCTGGGGAGCACCAGGGCCCAAGAGAACCCCCACCCTGGGTCCCATGCCCCCAGCCATCCCATTAGGTCTTTGGTGCCTGCTCAGTGGGCTCCAAGCCCACTGCCTGGCTGGCACCAGCCCCACTTCATGATTTGGTCACCGTGGGGATGATGCTTGGGGCCTTGGGAAAGCCCTTGCCACTGCCACTTGGCTCAGGAGGTGACGGTGGAGCAATGGCAGTGCATGGAGAGCTCTGCCCTTATAAAGCCATTGTTTGGGCCCTGGTGTGCCAGCACTGTGCAGAGCCAGGGGAGCTGCAGCTCTAACGTCAGCCAGGATGCCCTGAGACAGGCACAAACACTGCAGGACAAGGCAGGACCTGAGCCTTGAGTCACACTTTCCAGGCTCCTGTTTCTGCCCATATATGAGCAGGCAGCATCTCATCAGAGCTGGGCATGTACCCTGGGGCAGGGGAATAAGGCAGCAAGTGGAAGCAGTGATGCTGCAGCATCCTGGGTGGCCACCCACACACTCAGCCAGCACCACTCAGAATACCTTGAGTGGCATCCCCAGAACCTGATCCCTGTGTCAGGCTCAGCCACAGGGGCAGGGCTCTGTTCTAACTACTGCCCTGCCCACAGCTGGAGAGCAAACAGAACTCCAGCGTGACACAGTCCCCCCTGCTGAAACCCCCACTGGCGCTATTCCAGAAAGCCTGATCCCAGCCACCTGTCTCTGCCCATCTCCTGCTGGGCCCTGTCTGGCACTGCCAGGACTTGCCCCTAACCCACCAGCATCCCCCAGCCTCGTCTGCAGCCAAGGCAGTCATTTCTCTGCTGAGCCCTGGTGGTGATGGGGGCATGGGCAGGTACTCAGAGGGGAAGATTCTCACCATTGGTCCTGGGGGGCTGACAATGGGCTACGACTTTTTGGTTTTTACCAGCCCCTTCTGGACCAGGCAGCGATAGAATTCCTGAATGTATGTGTACACACACTTCCAATCTGGCTCGCGCATCCGGACCATGTCCTCCACATCCAGCAACTGTGGACAGTCCGCGTGCTTCCTGGGTGCAGGTAGAGAGAGGGGCAAGCCAGTGACCGCAGCCCAGTCAGGGAGGGGAGGAAGAGAAAACAAGAGACACAGATCAGTGCAGTTCCCCTCCCACTGGTAGCTGCTCCGCTCTGGCATGCTCTGGGGATGCACGATGCAGGGGCAGGAGGGCTCTGGGCACCCCATGCCAAGGCCATTCAGTGACACTGGGGGGGCAAAAGCAAGGAGGAGAGGGGCAGGTGAGTGGCGTGGAGAGGCGTGAAGTTGAGAAGGAAAGACAGATGGAAGAGAAGGAGGAGGAGTAGGAGGATGAGTGAGGTGTTCTGGCGCGTCAGGTGCTCGGGGAGCGGGTTCCAGAGTGGAGCAGCGCTCTATATAGCTCCTATATAGACCCACTGGGAGGATGGGGGGGGCAAGCCCAGCCCTTCTGCCCAGCTCCACTTGGAACTGCAGGGTGCGCCCTGGTGCAGGAAGCTTAGGAGAGGATGCTCACAAGAGCTGGAAGAGGAGGAAGGACGAGAGGCCACCTGGCTTCCAGGCCGGAGAGATCGATGGCTCTCTCAAGTCCACGGACCAGTTTCCCAATTAAGGCAAAAAATCCATTAACAGGAGCACCAAGAGCCAGGCCCGCAGCCCCCTTCTCACTCCACCAAACAGCACCACAGCACCCTGGGAGCTTGCAGGAGTCCCCATCTCACCCTGCCACCTTGGACATCAGCAGGATGGGACCCCCATCCTCAGCCCTGCCCCCCAGCAGGGTGCTGGAGGAGAGGAGTGGGTGGGTGGGAGAGAGACAGAAGGAAGAAGAGAGGGGCTGCCTGCCAGCCTTCCAGCTGGGTGCACTCCCATCTCTCAGCACCCAGGAAAACCAGAAGAAAAAGGGGAAGACTGGAGAAGTTGCAACGGTGTTTGAGCTCCTACAACTGTGAAAGGAGGCACCTGGCATAGGCAAGCCCTGCTCCCCCCACAAGCTGCAGTCTCACACCTGGTACACCACGATTGAATGTACTGCCCAAAGCCAGATGGGCTCATGGGGCTGCTGCTCTACCTTTGGGTGCCCTGCTCCACACCCAGGAACCTAGACCCCCATACCCATACTTGCCATACCAGACTGCGCTGCACTGGCCTCTGTGACTCTGCCCACACAGCTGCTACGTGCCCCCACAGCACCTAACCCTGTTGCGTTGCATGGGGGGAGTGACACCTACAGGCACCCACCTCCAGCACCATCCCCTCCAGTGTCCCCTCTCGCCCCAGCAGCGAGCAGGAGAGCCACCCCAAGCCATCCCAAGTCCACATGATGGCAAGAGAGGTACGTACTCTGCAGAAGAGAAGGCCACCTCGAAGTTCTGGCGGCGGTTCTGGGGTGTCAGCTTACTGTAGTCAAATGCATCAGGGAAGAAATTGTGGACCAAGGCACAGAAAGCCATGCCATCACTCCAGCTGGATGAGAAGTTCTGGATGTCCACGTGCTGAGAGGGCAACAGAGTTACCAAGGGACAGAGTGACTGCCTTGGGACAGGAAAAGGATGTGGCACCCACCTCATAGCCCCGGGTCTTGGCTCTGCACCAGTCCAGCAACATCTGCTTGATACTGTTGGCGTTAGGCACACCAAAGCTGGAGGAGCGCTGCACAGCAGTCTGTGATGCTGCAGGATTTGAACTGTGATGGGAGACATGGCGTGTTATCCATAGCTGCAGGGTGTTGTTTTTGTGTAGCACTCACTGCCCTCGCCAGCCTGCCCCAGACCCAGCCTCACCTCCCACCCTCTTTCTGCAGCTTCTCCATCATGGCCTTTCGTGCCTGTGAGGCTGATGTCTTGGGCAGGCTCTGAGCCTTCATCAGTTCCTTTTTCTTCTCTGCCTGACGCCGCTCCAGAGCAGCCAGGCTGCTCTGCCGAGAAGCACTCTCATCCTCACGGTCAAAAATGCTGGGAGAGAGACAGGCAATGCTAAAGGGGCTGTGGGCAGCCCAGGGGAGGGCAAGCAGTGGTCTCAGTCCATGGCCAGCCTTGGAACTTAGGAGACCTTCATGTGCCTTGGACATACAAGAGGTGGCTTAAGGTCCTCAGCTGGCAGACCTATCTCCATGCCCATGGAAGGAACCATGAGAGCTTCTGAATACAGTGAATATACCTCAAGGACCGCGAGGCTTTGGAGTGACATTTGTGTGGGGACACTGCAATCTGGACAGAGGGCTTGTGCAAGCAGATGAGTGACAGGGACCATGTGGGGCTGTCCCCACAGGCACCTCTGCTCACCTGCCTGTCTTTTTGGATGAGGAGCTGTAGGACGATTTGGTTTGAACGAAAGTGCTGTTGCCATCTGCAGAGAGAGAGGAGAGAGGCCCTGGGCTCTCAGCTGAAGGAGCTGAGGGCAGCAGTGCCAGGCAGGCAGGACTCTGCCTGCACCAGGGCAGTGATGGCTCAGCAGCAGCGATGTCCCAGGGTTACACCCTGAGGATGACATAGGGAAAGGGCAGGAAAAACTTACTGTCTGATCTCTTCACATAACTTGACTCCATGGTTGTAGTACGGGAGGTCTTGGTGCCATCACCTGCAAGGATAAAGCAATGGCAACTGCTGGGCTGGGAGGAGCAGCACCCACAGACACATGCTGCTGCCAAGCACCTATGCACCCATGCAGTGTAACAGGGAGAAGTCCCAGACGGTAGAGCCATGGGCATGGCAGGCAGAGGCATGTGCCCCCCAAGCAGAAGCAGAGAACAAAAAGGCGAGCACAAAGCAGCAGGGAGCTAGGGCATCCTTCCACCCCTGCAGCTGCTCAGCTTGAGCCACCCAGGGACTGGGAGAGCAGGGGTATAAGAGACAACACACAGGCCAAAGGTGCAGATGAGGCCCTGCCATCCTGACAGGGTTGGGAATTCAGAGGGAAGTCACCAGAGCAGAACCCTTAATTATCCTCAGGCAGGCTCTGGGCAAGCCAAAGACTCATCTCTGAAACACAGTCCTCCCAGCACAGTCAAGCCAGACTCAGGACAGGCAGTGAATGGCAAAGGAACTGTGGTGGTGGAGCATTGGGAAGGATTCTGCAAGGCACCCAAAGAGTTGGCACACCCCCCTAGCCCAGCTCATACCAGACTGGACAAGACGCTCAGTCTTGGTGACAGTGCTGCGTGCCGAGCCATTGGCTGACTGAGTGCTCTGCATGGTGGTGGTCTCTGTGGCATGGCCAGCCCTTCCTGCCACAGACTGGCTCCTAGCCTCCTGCAGCCACTGATCCCGCTCCTTCTCCCGCTGGTCTGCAAACATGAATGGGAGATGGCATCAGCAGTGAGGTGGGGTGGTGGGCACAGTTCCTGCCACACCAGGGGTCCTGCACTGCTGCTGGCCCACAACTGGTTTGTGGGAGGGATGATGTCCTTGGCCTTGCAAAGACAGGGGGCCAACAGCGGACCCAGCACACACCCTACTGCTTCCCCGCAGCTGGACAGCCCCACTTCAGCATCCGACATTGGCATCACCACCACTCTGACCCCAGTGGGGTCACCATCCCTGAGTACCTCGCTTGCGCTGGCGCAGCTCCCGCATGGCATTTCGAATCAACCGTCGCTCCTCAAAGTCTGTTGTCTGATCCAGCTGCAGGAGGGGGAAGTCATCATTAGTCTTCTACCATCAGCTTGAGGTCCCTTTACCTTCTTGCAGGAGCCCAAACCAGAGAAAGAGGTACCATCTTATCCAGAACATCCTCATCCTCAATCCTGCTCAGCTCCTCAGCATTCAGCTTGCTCCTCTCCACCTCCCTCACTTGCACCTTCTCCATGCCGTTGGGCAGCTCTGGTTCCTGCCTTGGTGCCTGGTGTTGCTCCACCACCTCCGGCTCCATCTGCAAGGACATCACCATGCAGCTGAGCCCCTGCCAGCTTGCCACCCCCCCACCTCTTCCCAGGGTCCAGGCCCTCATCACCCTGACACCAGCACAGTGCGACAGGCAGTGAGGACCCTGGAGAGGATGTACAACATAGGGCCTAAGTGCTCTCAGCTGGTGGGATGCTGCAAGAATCTGCAGTACCCAAGGCAGGCAGGGGAGTATGACAATCTGCAGCACCCCATGCCCCAGGAGGGCCCAGCAGTCCCTCTCTTCCTTCCAGTCTGGGTGCCATAAATCCTCCCTGCTCCCCAGCAAGAAGTGGCTGGGTCCCCCAGCAGGTAGGGCCTGCCCTGGGCTCTGGGCTGGGCAGCAGCTGTTACCCAGCAGTGGGTGGGGTGCTGGCAAGGCCAGTGCACACCATTAGCAGCACAGGGATTTCCATGGAATTAAGGGACTTATTGTAGAGAAGAGCTTGTGCAGGAGATCAAGAGCCATCCCCTGCATCCCTGCCAGGATTTAGGCCAGTCTGGCCCCTGCCCAAGCACAGCCAGGACAGGACGCCAAGTCCCTTTTAGCACAACCCCCCAGCAACGCATAGCAGGCAGTGGGCCAGGCCCAGAATAGGGCACAGAGGCACCAGGGATGACAGTGGGGCCACGGCAGCCATGCACACACCTGGCCCCTGTATCCTGTGGCCTGGTAACCGATCCATGGCAAAGCCATCGGCAGGAGTTGACGCTGGCCACAGGCGCCCATGCCACCACCTGTGCTTGGTGCTGTGGTGGGGCCAAGACAGCTGCCTGCAGCTTCTCACCTGGCACACTGGGAATGCGAAACAGGTGGGTGCACAGCCCCACAACAGTGAGCCCAAGGAGCGGTGGATCCCCATGGTGCCATGTCCCCATGCATCACTGCCACAGTCATGCCTTGTACCAGGGCTACAGACAACTCCAAGAGCCCTGGGGGCTGGTGACCCCCTCCCTTCCCCCATCATGATGCAGGGCTGCCCACACTCACGCTGCTGTTGCTTCGGGAGAGATGCAGGGCCAACTGCTGGCACGTACTGGAGAAAGTGGGTGGATGGGCCACAGGGCCACTGGGCTCCTCAGTGCCCACAAAGTGGGTGCAAGGGTCCTGTGCTTCCAGAAAGAGGGTGCTGATGTCCTCCCTGGGGAGCACCTGCAGCCTTGGCACCAGCAGATCGAGGCAGCGGCCCAGGCGCTCCAGCTCTGCCCGCAACTCCAGGTGCTCCTGCTCCAATGTCTGCAGAGCCTGCACCAGCACCTGCACTTGCTGCAGAGCCTGCTCCAGTTGCCCCTCTGCTGCCCCCCGGAACGCCCCCAGCTCCTGCCGCAGCTCTGCCAGCTCAGCCACCCCAGCCTGAGCCAGCCCCTCCAAGCTGAGCCCTGGCATGGTGGTGGTACAGGCGCTGTGGTGAGCCCTGCTCAGCTGTCCGCTGCCCTTTATAGGGGCCCAGGCAACCCCCCCCGGCTGGAGGCTGGCTCGCTCCCTGCCTGTGGGCTATTCTGGTCCCAGCAGCCGGGGGTCCCATGCAGGGGTGCTGAGCCAGGCGCCACACTTGGCAGTGCATCCGGCTGTGGGACCAGGTGGCTCAGCAAGGAGAGCCCAGCAAGTGGCCCCCCCGCCCCTGGAGGCTGTCAGGGCCAGATATCAGCCTGGGAGCCTTGGGACAAAGTGGTGGGGACCAGCCCTGACTACTGCAGTGCTGGGTGAATGAAAAGGCCAACCATTGCTATGTACTTTTGCCCAAGTGCCTTCCCACTCTGGGCTGGCATCACCCACAGCACATCTCCAGCCCCAGACTTGCATCAGTGCAAGGACCTTGATCACAGCATGGATTTTAGGTCTTCATACAACCATGCTGCCCAATGCCTGCCCCAGAGGGAGCAGGTCCCTGAACAGGCAGCACCCCACCAATGAGAAGACATGCCACTGTGGTTACTGTCCCCAGTCCCTGCAGCCTGCTGGTCATCCAACCAAGCCCTACCTGGCAGTACCTGCCAGCACTGCTGCTTCCTCCTCCTCCCTGCCCACTGGGAGCATACCTGGGGGCTGCATCTCCTGTCAGGCAGCCAACAGGTCTCAGGCCCCCCACCTCACTGGACAGGCCCCCTAATACATTTATGAGAGCTGACAACTGCTGCCCAAGTGCATTTGCACAGGGAAGTCACCCCACTGCAGTCAGGACCCAGGACCTGCTGGCAGGTGTGGGCAGCACCTGTGGGCACTGCATGCCTCAAGCTGGCAAGGGCTGGGCTGAGGGTGGGATGAAGCCAGTGGTACCACAGCCACCAGTATGCCCCAGGCTATGGATGGTACCACAGCCACTGGCAGTGACAAAAGCCACCCACAGTGCTGTTCCTGCAGAGACAGCCAGGCGTGCGCATGGCCATGAGTGAGACAGAGCCATGTTTGATATCCTGGCTCCTGCCAAGGCGGCACACAGGCGCCTTGCATTACCCTAGATGGGCAGGAGCAGATTAAAGCACTTGAAGGGCTGTCTCCTGTGTGCACCCAGCCCCAGGGTAGCCACAGCCTGCTCTCCCCACAAGACACTGCAGAGGGGTTGTTTTTTGATTTTTTTTCACCAGCTGCACCCAAGAATCCCTCCTAGGTGGCCTGGGGCTTTGGACATTCTCCACTCAGGATGGCATAGCAGGAACTGGCAAGACCCCGACCCACAACTCCAGAGTGCTTTAGGGACCTCTGACGAGTAGCCTCCCTGCCTCTGGGAAGGCAGGCTTCCCAGACACATGGCCAAGGTCCATCCCCAGGAAGAACAACAGGGGTGGTTGGCAATGGATTCTCCCCCAAGCTGTCGCCACCCTTAAAGGTGTTTAAAACAGAGGGAGACCCACAAAAGACTCCTTGTCCCCCTCCACCCATCTCCCCAAGTGTCTGAGTACATGGTGGCACAGTCCAGAGGGCTCATGTGGGGCTGTGCAACCACACACAAAGTCCAGATTCTCTTGATGAAAAAAACCCTACCAAAACAGAAGCATCAACCAAAACTAGACAGAGCCTCTGGACCATGCTACCTACACTAACTCCTTGGTCCCTGGTCCCCACCCCAAGCCCTGGAGCTGCCAGGCAATGGCCAGGTGGGGCACAGCCCCACAGACCGCCTGGGCACTCACCTTGGTGACATTGCTGCTGACACTGCTGATGTTGCAGATGCTGCTGACACTGCTGGGGATGGTGGTGATACGAATGGGGGTGCTCCGCAGACCCAGAGTCACCTCTGCAAGGGGAGCAAGAGGCATGTGGGATCTGATCCAGCCCACGGGCTCAGACCCAGCTGGGGAGTGGCTCTGGCTGGGCTCTCTGCCTGCCCCACACATCCTGCCCTGGCAGTGAGCACTGAGCTCTGGCACAGGGAAAGGTCTTGGTGGCAAGCAAGCGATGGGGAAGTCGAGACCCCTGCTGCCCTGGTTCATCATCCTCCCCAAGTAAGGGTGCATTCTGCAGTGCTTCAGCTGGAGCCAAGACCCCCGGCTGAGAGGGATGGCCACAGGAGCATCCTGACCCAGCCACATCTGTGGGCAAGCAGGTTAGGGGCAGGGCTGGAACAGACATGGTGCAGCAGTGGAACGGGATGTCATGGGTTCCCCTGAATCAGCAGGTCAGTGGGGAGAGGATGGGGCAGGGCTGCAGGGGCAGCGCAGGGATTGGGGAATGACCCCAAACATAAACGTGGTAAGACAGTGGGGCTGTGGACAGGCTGCAGGGCCAGACGGTCTCCCCGAACTGAGACGCCACAAGCAGGCTGAGAGTGCATGCCAAAGGATGAGGGCTACCATACGCACTTTGTTCTTCTGGCAGCACCTGTTCTCTGGGCTGCCAGCACTCAAATGCCACTGCTGCCTATCAGCACCCACTTGGCCTGGCTCAGCTTGCCTGCCTCCATCTGCCCATTTGTGCCCACCATCTGTTAGTGCCCAACTACCCACTGGTACCAACCTGTTCTACTGCCCAGCTGTGCACATTGTCATATTAGGAGCACAGTCCTGTAGTGCTTAGAGCCTGGTGGATAAGAATTCCCCTGTTGTGCCCACCTTCCTGAGAGATCCACATCTTTTCCAGTCCCACCTCCCTGCATGACACCCATGCCCATCACCCCTACAGTGTGAAGCCTCATGACAGATGCCATCTGCCCACTGGACCTTCCTGCACACCCCGTACCCCATCAATGCCCACCTGCCCGCTGGCTGCTGGGGGAGGCCGTGATGCGGGGCGCCAGGGGCTGCACGCGCCCATCCTTGATCTCGATGGTGAAGAAGGTCTTCATGGCGTCGAGGCGGGAGCCGGCAGGGCGCGGGGCCGAGCGCTGCTGTGCGCCGCCGCAGCCCCGCGCGTTTTGAGCGGGCGCCGGCGGGGCCGTGCGGGGCCCCCGCTGCCATTGGGCAGCCCCGGCCCCAGCCCCGGCCCGCCCCCCCGCACCGCCCGCCCCCGCCGGCCCGAACCGCTGCGCGCGCTCCCGCACCGAGCCGGCGGCGGGGGAAACTGGGGGTCCGGCGGGGCGCGGCGCTGCGGGAATGGACGCGGGGTCACCGGACTGCGGCCGCCCTCGCATGTCCCCGCCGGGGCTTGGCTCCGCACCGTGCATGCAGCGCCCCGCGGTGCCCCCAGCGATACACGCTGCCCCCTCATCCTGGGGTACCCCCTGCCATGCATGCTGCCCCCGCCCCGGGATGCCACACTGTGCACGCAGCCCCCCTAGGTTGCCCACACGATGCACAAAGCCCGCGGGGTGCCTGACTGTGCATGCAATCCTCTACGGTGCTCACAGGACGTATTGCTGCCCCCCAGAGATCTGAGCATTTCCCAGAGTCGCTGCAGCCCCTCAAAGCCTCTGCTCCCTCCTCCCACTGCTGCCGGATGCTTGTGTACATGGATGGGAGGGAGGGATTCTGGGCAGGAAGCAAAAGAGCAGGTGGGCAGCCAGCAGCATCCTGCGGCACCTGGCACTGAGGAGCTTCACACCTGCCCAGGCTCCACCGGGGACATCCCGCCACCGGGAAGCAGCGAATGGAGGCAGCCACCACTAGGATCTTACCCGTGTGGCCAGCCAGGCAAAGGGAGGAGGGCACCAGCTCCCACTGGTGAGTATTCAGGCGAGCCGGGGTCCCCATTACCTCCTGGGTGGGCACCGATGCTTGGGAAGAGAGGCCAGGGAAGGAATGACACAAAAGGAGCAGAAGGTGAGCATGGCACAGGTACTGCTGGCACCCCCTCACTCCAGCACAGCACTCTGCAGTCTCCCTCCCCATTACTCCACATTCCCCAGAGCTTAGTGCCAAAATCCACCAGCACTTGTAGGCTGCCCTGCACCCTAGGCATGGGCTCTGTCCTGCAATGCAAAACCACACTGCAGAGGAGGGTAGGCTCTGTGCCCAGTAGCGCAGTGGGGAGCCCTGGGGTCTGTGTTGAAAGGTTGGGACCACACCTGTCCTCACCAGGGCCTGGCACACCATTGCCTCTGAAGAGATGTTGAGGGGGCCAGGTGGCTCAGCCTTTAAGGGTGCAGGCAGGGCTCTGCCCTGGGGCTGAAGTCACTGATGCCCATAGAGGGAGGGGGGGCTTAGCTTCTCCTCACAAGCCAGGTTTGAGCCCCCTGTGAGGCAAGGGAGGGTTGGATCCTGCACACTTCTCTCTACCCCAGGGCTGTGCCATGCTGCAGCCCACCACCCCTAGCATCTTCCTAGGGCTGCTTCTTTCCCAGGAGCCAGCAGCCTCCAGGGGTTCCTCAGAGGGACAGCAACCTCTGCCTGCCAGGACAGCACCCTTCATCCTTGAAGCAGAGAGCTGCTTTTCGTTTTTCCCCCATTTCCTCCTGGCACAGCTGTGGGGATGGTTTTCACAACAGTAGGAAAAGAGCAACTACTGGCCACTGGAATCTCTCAGGGCTGTGGGGAGGCCCTGCAGGGTGCTGGACCTGGGGTGGGGATGGTCAGAGCCAGCCGTGCACAGCTCCTAGCCTTATAGGGACAAAGAATGCAAAAGGCCAGGGTTTGCTACTGGCACCGATTCCCTTTCATGGCCCTGCAGTAACCCGGCCAGAGTGGAAGCCCCAGTAAACAGCCTGCCTGGCACCCAGTTCCCTGGCTGGGGTGGGCATTGCCACCACTTGGCTAGGCAGCAATCGGCCTCCAGCTAAGGGTGGCCTTTGGCCTGGCCGTGTCCTGCACTCACATTCCTGACCCAGCACACGTGGGCAGGAGTCATGTCCTTAGGGATGGCTGGGATGTACATGCTGCAGAACAGGGGAGTGGGGGGGCCCTGGGACAGCCCTGCCCAGCTGGCAGGGGCCACGGCTCTCATGTCATCCCCCTCAGGGCTACACTTACCCACTGATGGCCTCTTGTGTCTTCCACCTGGCCCCAGCACCTGGCAGTGTGCCCCAACAAGAAGCTGTGGAGTAGAGGGGCGGAGCATTCAGCTGGGAGTTACATGCAGTCCCCCCATCAAATTACCTTCACCCAGACTGCCAGCCCCGGGCAAGGAGGGCAGTGGCAGCTGCCTCCAGTTTTATACCTGGTTGCCAGTACTGGGCTGGCCTGGGATGAGTTGCTCCCCTCTGGGGCTTTGCGCCACACTGGGTTCTGGGGCGCTGGCAGGGTTGCCTAGGTTCCCTTCCTTCCAGGCTGCCTGGGGCTGCCCCTGCTGCAGGTCCTCACCGCCATCCTCAGGCTCTGGATTGGGCTCTGGGGCTGGCTGCAGCTCCAGGAGCACAAGGGTCCCCGAAACCACAGCTGTGGGTGAGAAGAGGCTCTGCTTGGTAAGCCTGCAGCTGCCTGCAATGCATCCCTGCTCCTGCAGCCCCTCCAGGCACCCAGCTGCCCTGCCCGCCATTGTGAGATGGTATGCCCTTCATCATCCTGCAGCTGGCCAGGCACAGGTCTGGCCCCAGGCACGCACCTAGAAAGGACTTTGCCATGACATTTGTGGGGACTCACCCCGGGCACTGGGTTTCTGGGGGTCTCCTGCCTGCTGGCTGCACAGCTCCTGCATCCCAGCTGGGACATGCTCCTGCTCCACCACATCCTCTCGCTTGCAGGCCTGGGGAGAGCAGAACCAGCCCCACTCCAGTCTCTGACTGGGCCACCATGGCCCATTCCAGCCAGGGACGCATAGGCTGTGGTCTCTTCCCATGCTATCTAGGTCCCTGCCTGCATGCTGGCAGGAACTGACAAGCCAGTCCCTGCACATGGGTCACAGCAAAGAGGCTCACAGGGGGACAAGTGTCCCCATACCTTGCTGCATCCTGCAGGCAGGGAGAGAGACAGTGTCTAGTGAAGGGGGACCCCAAACCTGCCCCATGCTCCAACCCCAGGCACTCCAGGGCTCTGTGATGCAGGGAACATCCAGTTTTACATTGCCCTGTCCCTGTCCATGGCACCTGCAGCTCTGCTTGGCAAATGATGAAATATTCTGGACACAGGACCACACAGAGGTGAAAGATGTGTCTCTGACATAAGTCTGAGCAGGGCTAGGGTGTCCTGGCATCAGCTTGGGAACAAGGTGCCAGTTCTGGCTTTGCCAGTGCCTCTAGCAGCACCTTGACTTTAGGACAGGGGGATACAAAAAAGAGCTTTTACCCTGAGGGGACACAGGGCAACCAGGCCCCAAACCCAAGGATGGAAATGGCCTTGGGTTTGTAGATATCAGCCAGACTGAGCAGAACAGCCCTCTCAGCTGCTCAGAGATGTCCCATTCCAGCCAGGCTTTAGGGGCAGCGTGCCAGCCCATCCAGATGGGGAGGCAGACAGTGCTGAAAGGTGGCACAACTCCACATCCCTTTGGCAGTGTGCTGCTACAGCCCTGGGGCAGGTGGAGGAAGAAGCAGGGCTGGACAGAGGCAGATGGGGGAGCCCATGCCTTCTCACCCGGCTGTGGGTACACCTATTGCTTCTCCTCTTCCCACCCTCACCCTCAAAGGGCAATCCCCTAGGGTTGGGTGCAGAGATCTCCCACCACCACACAGTCTCTGCAGGATCATCCCTGCTGCACTGAAAACCCTGGCTTGTGTTCATTACTTCCAGCTCTGCCCACCAGCTTATCCTTTCCCCAGCCAGAAAGCGCCTAGCTTCACTCCAGAATAAGCCCTGGCTCCTTGAAGGCTGGCAGGAACAGCCATCACAAGAAGGGGGACAGGGAATCGAGGTTTCTACCCATGCAAGGGAACTGCTGCAGAGGAGATGAACGGCCGTTGCCTCCAAAGAACCCCATCCCCAAGAAGTGGAGCAGAGATGGGTGTACCACGCACACCAAGGGGCTCCCAGATCCCCACCAGATTGCATCCTTGGGAGAAACCCAAGGAGCACCCTGGCCTGAGACCCCAGCCCCAGCTCATCACTGCTGGCTGGAGCCACACTGGCACAGCACAGCCATGTTTCCCCTGTCCCCAGAGACCCCAGCCCCACCTGTCTCAGTCCCTTTGGGCAGGCAAGCACAGTTTGCCCAGGGCTCTGTGCTCCAGACGGGCTGGCACAGGAACCCCAGGAAAGGGTGAAATCTTGAACAGTTCCGCCCCCTGCAGTGCTCTACACACTCACCGCTGAGACTTTGGGCTCCTGCTCCACAGCCTCCCCATACCCACTCTCCTCTGGCCCAGCCAGTGCTGGCTCTGCATCATCCTGCTGGCTGCTCTCCCCGCTCTTGTCTGTGCCTGGAGACTTGGTTCTGCCCTCACCACAGCTCTCTTCACTTCCAGTAAGGGCTGGTGTTTCAGCATTGTCCCTCTGGACAATTTTCGCTTCCCCAGGCACAGTGGGGGGCTTGCTGCCATCCCTTCGGCTGCTCTGCACATTCCCAGCCAGGGTTGCAGCTGGATGGGAGCAAAGATGGTGTTCAGGAAGAAGCTGCCCACATCCCAGAGCCCCCAGGGCATCCACCCCGGAACATGGGAATGGTGCCTCACCTTCAATCTCCTCAGCCCGCAACTTGCGAATGGCAGCTCGGATCAGCTTGCGCTCCTCATACTCACCCGCTGCCCGCAGCTGCAAAAAAAAAAGGACCCAGGAAAGAAGCAGGGTCAGCCCCAGCACAAGTTCCATCCCAGCAAATGGTCTGCCCCAACACACAGTTGCTCACCAGTTTTGTCAGTTCCTCCACGCTGGTGATGGCTTCGAGCCGCTCAGACAAGGCAGCCAGGGCTGCCTGCTGTTCCTCTTCCAGGTGCTGGGACCTGAGCAGGATGAGAGCCGTGGCTGTCACAGGTGCTTGTGAGCAAAGTCCCCTTGTGGGCAGCTGGCAGATCCAGACAACAGGCCCCACCACGTGCCAAGCTGCTCTGTGCCAGGCTGTTCCCACCTTCACGTTCACTCAAATCCATCCCAGCCAGAGTGGGGCTGGGTACTGCAGCCCCTGTCTCCCAGGGCAGAGGCAGGGAATGACCTCAGTTCACAAAAGGACTCACTGTGGCCAATTCTCCTTGTCATCCTGTCGGTGGTTGCTGCGTTCTGGGCGGAAGCGCTTGGATGCCAACATCTCCTCGTCCCTCTCCAAGTCCTGCCGCTGCAGCTCCCGAATAGCCGAGCGGATGCGGCGCCGCTCAGCCAGGTCCAGTGTGGCCTCCAGCTGGGTGCACAGGGCAGGGCTCAGCACTGGCTCTGGCCACCGAGCCCCTGTCTCAGTCCTGGTGCCGCCCTCTGCCACACTGTCATGAGCTGCCCACACTCTGGACAAAGGCACTGTCTGTGTGTGGCACCCACGTGCCCTGAGCATGCTGCCCGGCACTGCCAGGCCCTGCAGGAATTGGGCACAGCCCACCCAGAGCAGAATGCTGGGACCACCCATGGTGAGGAGGGGCTGCCATGGTGGCACTGAGACCTACGGGCATATAAAGGTCAAAGAGACAAGCATGTGAAATGAACACCCACCAGCAGTCCTGCTGGCCTGCAAGGGTTGGTGCCATGCATCTCTGCCCCTCCCAGTGCCACCAGCTCTGGAATGAGTCCTCCTACCCACGCCAGCTCCTCCAGCAGCGAGGGGACAGGAGAGCCCATTCTCTTTCCATCCCATGTTCCCCAGGGGGTGCTGGTTGAAAGGGCCTCAGCATCCCACCAAGGGGTCATCTTGTGCACCCTGCAGCCCTCCCCCCCCGCCCCCCCCATCCACTGCTAGTGCATGGCAGGCAGCTCTTGGAACCAAATCTATGAGTGGGATCTGTCCTAAATCCAAGTTCAAGCCTTTATGTATGGGAAGCACAGCCATAACTCTCCCGCAAATGTCTGAACATCTCACAGGTGCTCCAGGTGCTCCTCAGCCCACCAAGGCCAGCACCTAGCATGGGCACCCAGAGCTGCTCCCCCTCTTCCAGACCAGGTCACAGCTCAGCCCCACTACCAGCTCCAGTTTTTCCAGAGAGCCATGAACCCACCTCCTGATATTGAAGGGGCAGAAGGCAGCCAGATCTGCAGTGAAAGGCCAGCCAGGGCAGGCATGGCCCTACTATCCTCACACTGTCCTGCTGTAGGACATCAAGACTGCCCTGACACTGGAAACGTGGGAGGGAGGTGATTTCCCATGGAGCTTGTTAAAAATAAACCCCGTGACCAACAGCAGCTGCTGTCAGCATCAAGCCCCATCATGCGGGGAGAAGCCATGGCTGTGCCACAGGACAAGAGCATCAGTCCCTTCTCTTCCTGTCCCATGGGCTACTGACACAGAGATGCCATGTGCCACCCCAGCGGCAGCCAAAACTGTGGTACTCCAACCCTTGCCAGCTGCAAAGCCTAACTGGAAGCATTATCCTTCCCCAACTGGGGAAGATCCCAGTGGCTGGGATTACCAACCCCTAGAGCAGACCAGCTCTAAAAATACACTTAACCTCTGGGGGAGCTGTCTGGAGCCAGGGTGCTCCTTCCCTCCCACCCCAGCAGCCCCCACCATGCCAGCAGGCATTACTATCCCTTCCAGCATCCTGGCTAAAGCCGAGGCCTGCAGTCCACTCTGGGCTTTTATCCAGAGCAGTCACCTCTGCCACCACAAGGCCAGGGAAGCAGCTGGGAAGAGCAGGAGCCACGGCATTGCCAGAGCAGTGTGGAGTGTTGGAGAGAAAACCAGCCTTTCCATCCTCATGGGCCTCTCATTTCCCGTCTGCCCCAGATGGCTGCTGGCATCTCAAGGATGCCACTACAGTTGGAACAACTACTACCAAGAAAAAGACATAGTCCAGCACCAATGGTGCCCATCCTGGCCAGCCAGGAAGCCTGGTTCCCTGCAAACAGGGCAGCATCGATGGGCTGGGAAGTGGTGGAATTTGGTTCAGCTCAAAATGAGGGGCTGGAGGCAGAGCTTTGCAGTAAGGACATCTCTCCCTACAGCCATCCAAAGACTTTGAGGACAGGAAAACAGTCCTCAACTGCATATTGGGTGGCCAAGACCTTGGCCCTTCCCAAAATAAGCTGCTGGAAGTGAGTGGCTTGGCCCCAGCATCTGGGTCAGGGCAGTGGGAAAGGTGGGGGGAGGGAGAAGTGGTGTGTGCACAGCAGCTGCAGAAGTCATGAGTGCCAGGAAAGGGGGACACAATGGGACACCAGCCCTGCACACCCTGGTGCAGGAAACATGCTGGCACCAGTGTGTGCTGTGTGGCACCCACCTGCCAGCTCTGGGGTCTACTCTACCCAGGAGGCTTCAGCTGGGACCTGACCTGCCCCCAGGTCCTGGAAGGCTTCTCCCCACAGGACAAATGGCAGGGCAGGAGAAAATGGCTTATTCCAAGCCCACGTCAGCAGGGAGCTGGGATGAGGCAAATAAGCAGCTTTGGAAGCTATGTAGCCAGTGGCAGGGGAAAGCATGATGGAAACCACAACAGCTGCAAAGGGACCAAGGGGCCCAACCCTGCCAGCACAGGCAGGCTTAGGGATTGGTACATGCTGAGGCCCCATGGGTCCTGCCCAGCTGCCAGCAAATTAATGGTTCCAAGCAAACATCCTCCTCAGCACACAGAGTGCCTTTGTGAAAGGACACTGGCACAGCACACATAGGCTGCTTCCCACCTGGTGCCCAACACAGCAGTGCTCAGAGCCCTGGTGCAGTGAGCAGCTCCTCCAGGAGGGCTGCAGTTAGCCCAGCATCCATCCGGCTCTTTGAAGCGCAGGACCACACAGCACTTTGGAATCTGGAGCCTGGGCACAGGGGAACTGCTTTACGGCATCAGATGAACCTGGCACAACAAGCACCTCCCACAGCCCCAAGTTTCACTGTCACTTTTGGAAAGAGCCATGGGGAGCATGGCTACCCCCCCAGTCAGAGGAAAGCAGGAAGGACACTGGATGACAGGGATGTGGCAGGGATGCACTGATTCTCAAGGCCAAGGAAGACTACTATAGACTACTATAGCCAAAGACTACTGGGTATGAGAAGAAGGGGATCTCATGGCAGTGACTTCCCTAGCTCAAACCTGTCCTGCCTCTGTCACCAAAGGTATTTACATTGTCCTTAATTAACCAGACTAAGAGTTGGAGGGGCTGGGAGAGGGAAGCATTCCCCAGCCCAAGGCCAGCAGACCTCAGCCAGGAGCTCAGTACAGCTGTAAGCGCTCAATCTCTTGCTTCTGGACATCCACCTAAGGGCCACCCTGCAGTACACCCCATCCCCCACTCCCTCCTCCGGCTTCTCCAAACCCTTGGTCAACTTTATGCTGCACCATTGGTTCATCCCAACTGGCCTCCCTGGGACTGGGATACCAGTGGGCAGCTGGGAAGAGAATCATATGGATGCCTATGGCAGGAGTTGCAGGGCACCTCCTGGCAGCGACCAACCCAGCCAGCACAGGAGTGAGGGGGCTGCAGGGACCTCCTCAAGTCCTCCAGCCTACTTCTACCAGTTTCCCTGGGGATATCAGATGCTGCTGCCTAGAAGCCCTTGGGAGAAATGAGGAGAAGCAAGGCAGAGTGGAGGGCTGGGGAGAGCAGAGTAGAAGGGAGGAAGTGGCAGGAGAGGCAGTTTTCCCATATATGGACTAATCCTCTTCCAACTGAGTGGAGCCAAAAACTTAACCAGAAGAAAAATAATTCCTTCCCTGCCTCACATCAGCTCAGATGCGGCTTTCCCCAGCTTGTACCACACAGCACAGGGAGATGTGGGTCACAAGCACAGTGCTCTGGGGAGACAAAGCCTCAGAATGTCAAAGAAAAAGCATCCATAGAAGCAGTGCCTGCTGCAGGATGAGATCCACCTCCCTGGGCTGACCGGACATCAGGAACCCATCGCCGCTTCTGGGACTCCATCTCAGATCAGAGACCTCGGCTGGGACATGGCAGAGCTGGAGCACGGGCAGGATGGGGAGACACCCTGACCACCCATCCCCAAACCTCTGGATAGGTGGTCCATTGTCCCCGACATCACCCCATGAGAAGCAAGTGGGCTCCCCAACTCGAGCCACGGGCTCGTGGTCTGCGTGTCACCACTCAGAGCTGGCTAAGGGTGGCAGGACAGAAGGCTCAGCCGGGAGCAGCCCCCGTGCCAACCCACAGCACAACCCTCACTTCCCGCCGGCATCCCGACTCTTTCCTGTTCCAGCAGACCTGCCTTCCCGGCTGACTCAGCTTCCTGTTGTGATCATTCCCCATCGTTGACCCGGGCCACGCCGGCGCAATCCCCGGGACAGCCAACACAGCCCTAGCCCCGGGCTGGGGGTCCCTGGGGTTGCCCAAAGCCGGACACTTGTAGGGGCTTCCCGGGACACCAGCCCCGGCTGAGTATCCCGAGTCTCGTTTTCGGGACAAGGAGGCCCTCGTCCTCTAGAGCCCATCGGCCGCGACAGCGCACGACTGCGGCTCTCGCTCCCGGGGCGGTGCTCCGGCCGGCGCTCCACAAGCCGCTGCGCAGGAGGGGATGGGATGCAAAGCCATGCGGGCAGAGCCCGGGAAGTGCGCTTGGCACCGCGCCAGCTCCCGGCATCGCGGGAGCCTGCAAGGGGCAAGCGGGGAGCAGGGAACTGTGCCGGCATCGGGGAACGATCCCCCAGGATCCGCCGGCCGAGAAGATGGAGCTGGGGCAGGCGGTACGGCCGGGCGCGACTGCGAGAAAAGGGCCAAGCGCGGCCAGAGCAGCGGGGCCATAGCCTTTGGAATCACCGGAGTAGAGCGGGGACTCGTGCTGGATCTCACCCCGGCCCAGAGCCCGACCCAGAGCCCTGGGTCTCCAGCGCTACATCCGCTCCCAGACATGGCTCCGGAATACCCCAGCCGAGCGACAGATCCGAGGCCCGCCCGCTCCCGTTCTGCCCGCGCCTGGGACAGCAGCCCTCGGCCCGGGGGGTTCACGGAACCTAGGCACCTCCAGGCACGATCCGCCCCCGGAATCGGCGCGGGCGCGCACCGTACCCCGAGACCCGGAGCAGCCGCGGGACTTACCAGCTTCCGCAGCGCTCCCTCGTCCATCCCGAGAAGGCTCTCCTGGGACATCCTGTCCGTCGGGCCCGCGCTGCTGCGGCCGGGACTCAGTGGCGGTCGAGATAACAAAGCGCGGCCGAGGCGTCTCGGCCCCGCGCTGGGTTCGACTGCGCTCCCGCCACGCCCCGCTCCCCTCCCCCGGCTCCGCTCCCGTTCGTGCTCCCAGCAGCGCTGCGGCCCTACCGCTTACCCGCTGCATCGCCGCTTCCGATCGCCCCGCCCCGCCGTCGCCAGCCCGATTCGGCCCCGCCCCGCCGGACCTGCGGGTCCCGTATCCCGGTGCCCAGCCCTGTACCAGCACCGTGCACCGGCACCGAGACGAGCCGCCGTGCCGTGTCGTGCGGCTCCGGACTCACTCCCGTCCCGGTCTCCACGCCGGTGCTGGTGTAGCGACCTGGTCTGCTTGGGGTGGTACCCCAGGGTGTATCGCTGCTCGCAGAGTGTCCCCGAGCCCAGCCCCGGCTCGGGGACTCCCCATCCGCAGGAGCTGCTGCGCCCCCTGGTTTGCGGGATGCGGGGCAGAGAGCCACCAGCACCTCCTCCCCAGAGGGCCTCCCCACCAGGCCCGGGGGATCACACCATGGGATGCCCCTGCATGCACTGGGGAGCTGTTTGAGCTGCTCCCTGACACCGCTGCAGGATTAATGGCCAGAGCACCTCCAGAAACCTGCGAGGGCTTCCTGGGCATGTGTTGTTGGGTTGATGATGTTGGGGGGACCCACATAGTCCCACTGCTCACTCCAACTCGAAGCTGCTTGTGGTGTCCTTGTCCTTACACCCTGTCCCAGGTCCCAGAAGGCAGTGCCAGGACAGCCAAGCCCTGATGTCTCACTGTCCAGAGGTTCCCCTGGAGACCTCAAGCTCCTAACCCACAGTTGAAGTGCAGCCCTGCTCTGCAGAGGACAAACTTTTTGGAGCTCAATCTTGTTTCTGGGCAAAGGCCAGAAGTATTCCCTGGAGAGGACAAAGTACTTGATGTAATGGAGGCGCTAAGGGCTCTGCAAAGCAGGCAGCTGTCATCTCCTGTCAGCTCCAAAAGTGACAGAGAGAGATGCTGCTCTCTGCTTTGACTGGCAACCCAGAGGCTGAGGGGCTTCTCCAGAGGACGTCATCAAGGTTAAGTTCACTGCTCTTCTGGGAGTTCCTAGCAATCTGGGAAGATGGATGGGATGGAGCAGGACCACACCATCATCTGACACAGGGAAAGATCCACCACTGTAGGCCAGAAAGATGGGGTGTGGTAGAGGTGCCTAGAAGGTCCAGCAGTTTCCATACTGGAAGTGCTGGTTCAGATGTCTCATTTCAGCCTGTTTGGCAGGGTGGGTTTCCAGCTGCACTGACATCCCAGAGCCCTCTGCTCCCCTAGGATCCTCAGCAGCTCTCCACTCTCCAGGCCAGAGCAGCATTGGGCTCCACTGGAGCATGACAGCCCCTGCCCAAGCAACTATGCTAAAGCAAACTGCTCCAAGCACTGTGCTTTCTAACATAACATCATCCTCTGCCAGTCTCAGCAGCATCATCTTCACTTGCTGAGTGATCCCTGCCATGTCTGCCACAGAGCTGCCACACAGGGGTCTGAGGTCTGCCCTGCCCTGAATCTCTGCTGTCACACAGCCCCTAAGGGACCAGGCACCAGCACAGTCAGGGGTCTGCATCACTTGCAGCTCTGCTGTCACATGGGAGCAGGCACTGCCATATACCCAGCTCCTGGCCTTCAGGCAGCACAGCTGGCAGCAGCTCATCTGCCCTTGGGGTATGGGGGGGACCCCATGGCAAACCTTCAGCTGTTGAAGGTGCATCAGGCTTGTTCCCCAGCCCCTCTGCCAGCAGCAGCACTGGGCAGGGCAATGGATACTGGTGCATGGCTGGCAGCATGGAGTGTGGCCTTCCCACATGGAGCACCCAGAAGCATGCTGAGCTGTGTGGATAAAGTAGCCTTGGGTACACAGCTCTCAGCATGTGCAGCAGCACTTACACTGCCTGTGCTCCCACAGGTCTGCACCACTCCTGGCTCCATCTGCCCAGGTAGTGACCCTGTCACATCCTCACTGACTCACTGACACATCCCAGGATCACCACCACCACAGCATATGCAGGGCTCCCTAGGGGTGAGGTGGGCATGCAGCCAGCCAAGCACAAACTCCAAGTAGACCTCCTTATTTCATGAAGTGGAGCAAGGAGAGATTTACAAACCCCTTGGAAAGCCCAGAGCTCCAGCTCCAGGCCTGGCTCTGGGAGGGTTATAGGGAGGCTGCCCTGTGCATTGGTGAAGGGCAGGTGAGGGAGTGATCTCATCGGTTTGCAGCAATCACAGTGTGCTGTTGTGTGTTCTGTGCTGACAAAGGCCATTGTATTGCTCAGTAGATGGGATGAACCTGTATGAGGAGGCTTAGGCTTGGGTGGGTGCACAGGTCCTGGGGGCTCCCCCAGCTAGGGGACAAGTGCAGCAAAGGGAGGAGAGGCAAGAATCCTTTGGGTTCCCTTTGGGGATGCTAAACATAATGGTAAATACCAGTGATGGAATTTTATTGTGCAAGCACATGTCTGGAACTAGTCTGGGCACCTGCCTGACTCAGGGATGGGACAATGCAGACAAGGGTAGGGTTGTGACTGTAGTGCAAGGCAGGGAGAATTCAATTTCACTTGGGGCATAGTCCTCTGGGCACAGGAGCACACTGTGGGGCCAGCATTACCCTGCTGTTCTGGCAGCACAGACCCACTGGCAGTGTGGGGCTACACGGGCTGCAGTGGGCAGAGGAGGGTCCTGGAATCCATCTCTTCTTCATGAAGCTTTCCTGGTTTCATGCCTCCTCTCCTGGGAACTTCTGACACCAACAGAACTTTGTCCATCCCACTGTCCACATACCCAATACTTTGTGACTTCACGCATGGCATGCACATGTGAGGCTTAATGCTCTCACTCCTTTGTATGCTGACAACAGGGTAGCTCCCACAGGGCACCATGCTATTATCAATAGTGACATCATGGTGGTTGAGTTTTGGAGATCTCAGACCTATCTCCCAGGCCTCTGCAATGGCAGAGTACCTCTGTGGTTCCCAGCTCCTCTGGGTGGGAGAGAAGCTCCTCCAGCTACCTGGGGCTGCAGGAAAGGTTGGGCCCTCCCTGCCTCCTCTTCCTCCTCTCACTCCTGAGAATTGCAGCCTTGGGTGTGATGATGTGCCAACATCCTCCTTAAAATTAAGTCCCTGGAAACTATGCAGCTTGTTTAGTTCAGAGTCTGGCATGAAGAGAGGCCAGAGCAGCAGGGCCTAGGTGGATGTAGTGCTGTGCCCTCTGAGAGATGGGCATGGCCACACCCCAGAGATGGGGCAGAACAAGGGACAGGTTAAGGGCTGCCCTTGGGTGTGGATGGAGGCTGGGCAGCACAGGGTGGCCAGGGTCATGCACAGGAAGATGTCCTGGGACACACAGTGCAGCTGGAGGACAGCATTATGGCAGCTCTGCTGCAGCCAGAGGGACCACCTGCCTGCAGCCCACTTGCTTAGGGCAGGGCACTCATGCCCAAACACATTCCCATTTCTCAGGCATGACTCCTGCTGGATCAGGTGTGATGGATCCCTCACATCCTGCTGTTGGCAGGGGCACTGGGCAGCCACCTACATGCCCAGGGGTTCTGCTTCATCTAGGATAGGAAGGAGCCATGTTGCAAGGAAGGTCCGTCCCACTTTTGGAGTGCTACATTGCCTAAGGAGGATCAGTGCTGCCACATACACTAAGGGCTCCACTTGTCCCACTTGGGTGGCCTGTATGGGGACCAGCATGCAGAAAGCACACACTGCTTCCCTATAAGCTAGAAGCAATTTTCCCTATGTGTGGATCTTGAGGACTGGATCTCTATTGTGCCTCTTTACCTGCATAGAGAAGAGAATGGACAGGTTTATCCATCTGTCTGCAGTCTTTTTTCTGTTGCTAATGGTGGTACAGGAGCAATGCTGGTGAGTACCCAGGGGCTCAGCCTGCTCATGGCATGCACCTGTACTCCTGGTGGAGCCTCTCCAGAGGGTAGATCCACACGTGAGGTGCCGGGTTAGTGCCCTTCCTGCCCATGCCCACCCCAGTCCAGGTCAATTCCTGTTGTGGGGGTTGCAGCACTGAGCCACTGAGCTCCTGCCCCACCACAGCCTTGGCTTGTAGGAGTTAAAGCCCGGATAAGTGAATCCATTTCCCTCCACTGACCTTTGGTCCCTGTCCTGCACAGAATCCTCCAAGGATCCTGTGAAGCAAGCACAGTCTGTCCCATTCCCTGCCCTGACACAGGAGTCAGTGGGTCTATCCTTCAGCACCACATCCACCACAGAAGCCTGATCTGCTTCTGTTGCAATGCCTCTGACACAGCCTGCTCCTACTTTGCCTTGCCCCAGGAAGGAGGGGAGAGGAAAACACTCTCAGTATCTAGCACTGCAGGAGCCCAGGGCACTGCACCTCACAGTGCAGGATGCAGCCACAAGCAGGCCACCATGCCCACCAGGACCAGAGGGAGCCCACAGGCAGAGGCTGCTGTGGAACTAGCATCTGCTCAGAAGACGAACCTCCAGGCTGCAGCCTGCTCCCTGGCAGTGGGCCCAAAGGACTAGAGTGCTTGAAAACTGTCAGGGCCTTGGTGTCAGCAACCACAGGGCTGCCAGCTTGCAAAGAAGAGTGGGAACCTCCCTTTCCTGCTGTATGCTGGCATTTCCAGATGAATCTATGCATGGCAACATGTGTACCCAGGCTGAGCACATAGTCCCTATCCTGCTGCACAGCTGCTGCTGCCAGGGACTGCAGAGGTGCTCTGTGGCATCTGAACTTCCCATAGAGCTGTGCCCCTGCTTAGATGGCACTCATAGGCTGCAGTTTCCCCTCCAGCCTGCCCAGACTTCTAAATGTCCCTTGTCTGACTGTCCTTCCTCCAAGGGGTTGTATCCCTCCCACCGTGCTGATGCACAAGACTCTCATCCTGCTCTTCTCTGCACCTTGAGCAGTGGTGAGAAACAGGGTCCCAGGGACCTCAGCTCCTGGCCACATCAGAAGCTCTACTTGGAGCTGGAGGGAAATATCTTTGTGCTATCAGAACAGAGGGAGGCTCCAGCTCAGCTGTAGCTCTGGGAGCTCACAGGAAG